GGAATGCCAATCTTGCAGTAATAAACACCAAAATATTTTTTCTAGAAAGAAAAGAGTTCTCACTCTCATGCAGATACACACTAATCCAGTACAGTTATAGCTTTAAACAGTTTGTGCTCTTGATGAATGGATCTCCTGTAATTACAGTCACCTACTCACCATCCTCTGTAATAGTACCACTGCTGGAACCATTGCTCTTGGCTTGTCTGTGAGAAGAAGAGAGAGAGGACTCTGTGTTGTGAACCTTAGGAGATGGGGAGGGTGATGGGGAAGGTGTGAGAGTTGGTGATGTGCTTTTAGATGTAGATGAAGTCCCAGATGGAGGTCTTTTGCTCATCTCCAGTTTTTGCTGTAGTTAATGATACAATCATTTCAGTTTAACAAAAAAAAAAAAAGTGTTTACCTATATATGATGCTTCAGTATCACTTAAATTGCATATCATTTCTGTAGAGCATGTAGTCATAACTAGAAGCTTCTGCTTGATTCATATTGAAATAACTGGAGCAACACTGATTTATCCCAGGTGAGAGTCTATCCCCTCAAATTCAAGACAAATACATTTATTAAGGCTGTAATTTTCGAATAAGAAAATTATTTCTTATACAGCAATACTATATATAAGCACTACAATTATTCTTTTTATAAAAGCTGTAATTACTTTGACTCTGAAAATGGGTCTTTTTAATTCAGAGATTTAATTGAATAAATAAAACCTCAATTAAAGCTTTTCAAAGTATACCAGATGCTAATTTAAAGTAGCACTTCATGCTGTATTAATCAGAAATATACAGCAAGCATAAATGAAGTTTCAGGTGCATTTAATCCCCTTGCTGCACTGGAATTAAAGTTTCCAGTAAACCCTTAAACTTGTTATTACCTAACATGAGTCAAATGATTCAAGTTTAGTGAATATTTTGCAATTATTTAATACATGTGGAGGCATGGAAAACAGGAAAAGACTAATTAAAACGAGGAATAAGAATATCTATGTATGTATATCAAGTCTTTTCCAAAACAAGTTAATGTACCTCATCTCCTAAATTCCTCAAGCTACGTGTCACTTTCCACATTTCAATGTTTGCATTAAATGACCTAGAAAGAAGTCTTAGGTGATTTTCTCCTGGACTCCTGAATTCAGAGTTTAACTTAAAATACCGCTTGTTAGTCAGGCTGCTACAAGGAAAATGTAAGAAAACAGCTGAGCTGAGTAACAAGGCAAGAAGGAAGAATGACAGTGGTTCCTGCTTCTGTGTTACGGCATAAATGGAACTTTTCTAGTTAATGAAAGAGATGGAGATTAAAAAGATAAAACTGATGTGAGTGGTAACATTCTTCCATTACCCTATCCCCTACCAGAATGTACTACCTCCTTAGCCCTGCATTGAATTGACTTGAAGTAATGTAGCATGATACAAATTTGAGAGGTCTCTAAAGAGCATCGTGAATTCATTTTAATTTTCTGTCCTAAATTTCCCTTTATTCTGGCCATTTGTGTTTCAGAATGCTCTTCCATCTCTAGTGCATTGTCTGCATTTATTTAAATTACATCACCCTGGAAATTGTTATTGTTTTTCTTTAAGGCTTGCACAATGCCACCCCTCATGAATAACTTTTGCAAAACTGATCAGTGCAACATCACTGCATTTTTAGATCAGCTGTTTCCACATTTAGACAGCATGACCCTAATGAGAAGACACAAGCATTTCCACAATGGATACAGACATTAAATTTTCAGCATTTATGTTGTCGATTACAACAAAGTAGGCTGTTTAAGCTTTTGCAGTTAGTGTGGCTCTGTATGTGACCGTGTACTCCCAACAAACACTGATGTCCCAAAAATCACCTCAGACGTGTGATATATGAACATCTATAGCAAGAGGCACACTGATTATATGTTTTGTTATTGGTGGATAGACTGAAATTCATCTGGACATCTAAGCAAAGAGCACTGAAAGAGCTGTTACCTTTCCAACATAATGGCATCATTTTTATTTAAAAATCTTTTCAACACTACGATGAACTGCCTTCCCAGAAGATGACCTGCAGGGCATTGCACCTCACTACTTCTTTATCCCCTAATGTCTTCCACTGTGAGTGGGGATAATAGTTAAACTTTTTAGTGGCAGCATTATTGTAACAACAGACTCCAAGAACCACAGCCCAAAGCTCACAGGCACAGGTAGTATCTCTTAATAGACTAATTAATATAACTGGAGAAAAATAAGATTTGGGGGAGGGGTACACAAGCAGTTCTTCTGAAATTATTTCCAAGATGAAAACAAGCTGAGAGGAACTGCTGAGAGTTTAATTAGAAATATATTGGTCAGACCACCTCTGAAAGAAAAAGCATTTGGTAGCTGTTCAGTAGAGGAGACTTTAATGAGGGAAGAGGATAATAAAGTCACTTTGTCTACAGAAAGAGACAGATCATTTATAATGCAGGGAGCAGTTACATGGGATAGAAAAGGAGGAAAGATTATCATGTGCCAAAGAATCAGTACGAGTCCACAGCTTTTGGAGGTCCAGCAGAGTTATAAATTTCAGCTCCCAATTTCATCTTTGAAAAGCAACCAGTAGTCCCTTCAGAATCAGGACTGATAGATCAGAGACAAAGTGACTATTCATGGAAACTGTTTTGGCATTGGTAGTTTCATGCTTTTCTTTTTCTGATTTTTGTCCTCCAGAAATTTCAATTAAATCACTGAACAACTTTGTAACTTCACTGATCGTCGATATTTACTGTTTAAATTTACATATTGCTTATTGTTGCCATATAAGACATCACAGAATGAAATAGCAAATGTAATAATTTCATACTCTGGCCATTTTTGTTTCTTCAAGCAAAACTTCAAGAAGAATCTCATGAAAAGATGCAAAGAAAACAAAGCAAAATGAGCTCTTTGGAGATTACACAAGCAAAAAGTTGAGAAATTTTGCTCTTAGTCATGTATTCATTAAATATAAATATATAAATTCATATATTTACAGAATACCAGACATTAGAACTAAACCCCCAGATTATGTGCTTGCTTTCTGTTGCTCTCTGAAATGTAATGTTTCCCTGTGTGAATAAACCCATACATTTCACAAGAGTGTATCACATCTTCTGTTATGATGTTGCCTTCTAACTTGTGTCTCTGCAGGTTTTGAAGATTTAAAATCTTAATTCTTAAAAACTTTGTGCAAAGCAGTTGCTACCTTCAAAGTACAGGCATAAAAATGGGCAGGTCACGAGGGTAAAGCTATTCGAGGAAAATGATAGGCAAGTCAGTGCAGACAATATGGCCTGCACTCAGGAGCAAAACCTGACGTTGGTGATGTTCATACTGTTTAAAAATAACACCTTGTGGAGCAGACTGGATACATGCATATTATTGTGATCAGCAGATCCTGGTACAAATTATCTCATGTTCTGCACTCAGGTTGTGTCTTTGGAGGGAAACTAGCTATACCACTTCAGAGTAAAGCCCATGAATAACTACCATAGAACACTGGACTCAGTCAGGGCCATAGAAAGAAATAATGAGAAAGCAAAATAACAGTGCAGATTTACCCTAAGATCAAGTATTGCATTTACTGTTTTTAAAATAAGAGTGAAATTAATAATAAAGCAAAATCATGTTTCATTATTAGGTGTGATCTTTTGTAAACTTGCAATTAAAAAGAAGGTTCATGGAGCTGAAAAGTTTCCACTACTGTAAGAGGGGTTCATTCATTTTAGGCGTGCAATGTCATGCAGTTATATCTATCAGCTCTCCATGACTGAGACATGACCTATTAAAATCAGCCAGTTTGGAAGTACAAAAATTTACATGTCTCTGTACCTTTACAACATGTCCATTGCCAACAATTTGAGCACACTGCAAATCAGACGGAGTGGATGAAGGAGTTGACTGGACTGGACTATACTGTTGGCTGGGTTTCTGTTCAGGTAAGCCTGCTGCTTTTCTTCTTTGGGCTGCAATCTGAGACAAAACATTATCTGCACTGCCACCTAAGAAAAAAAATAAAATAAAAACAGAGTCAAGGAAACCATCACTTAAAAAACATTTGTTAATCCTTAACTCACCTCTCTGCACCACCCACTTTCTTTTAAAAACTGACTGGATGAAGTAAGAGAGAGAATGGTAAGGTTCAAGCCTGTTCAGCAGCTTTTAGGAAAGGGAACAAAAATCAAGTGCAGGAGAAGAGAGAAGCCAGCTTTGTCTACATACAGAGCTGACTTTCATAGTCTTGGATATAGGTTTCATGAGCTGCTTCACCATAGCTGCCAGATACAATGCTTGTAGCTTTGTTTTTAATTGAAAACCATTTATTTTATTTTAAACAAAAAGCAAGTAACATGGGTAAGAGACAGCTCTATGAAATGTGTGTTGCAATGAAGAAGCATCCACCTGATCCATCATGGGTGGACGTGTCTTTTCTGAGACGGGGCTAACTGATGAGATTTCTATAACAGATGTGAGACTTTTCTTCCCTTATGTAGCTGTCCAAAGTCCAATCCTGTTCCAACAAATTTTATAGAAGTTTTGCTTATACAGCAGTAGGAGCCCTCAGAAAAGGTTTAGTACCTTCTACCATCATCACAAACACTGATTTTTTTAGCTGAAACAGATACAAATTACTTTCTTATTGAAAATAAAAGCAGCATGGTACCTGATCTGTTATACAGTTCTCCTCCATGCCTGTTAATTCCTGCGATGTTATTGGATCCACCAGAAGAATGGGGAGAATGGTTGAAATTGTTGGAATTTGAAGGAGACGCTGGTCTTCTTGTAAATGTTGGTAATTTGACTGGTCTAGCACCTTTGCTAACAGGTGTCTGGAAAACGAACAAAAAAATTTTCATCTTTTTTGTTTGAGCAAAACAAAGATCAAACTTCAACTGCTATATTTTAAGTTCTGAAACTTCCACTGAAGAACAAAAAGGATATCAGAAATAATCTTATTTTACATACACAAATACATTGAATATATATATATTCAACAAAAGAAATGACACCATAATAAAGGCATTATTTCTCCTTAACCTTTGGCCAACACAAAATGAACATAAACATGCACCTAAGATACCTTATACATAATATTACAAGTGGGGCAGGCTGGGGACAGGAAGAATTATCACACGTAAAACATCTTTCCTGCAGAATCCTGGTTTTGTCTCTCCCGTCTTACAAAACAGCTCCCTGTTTCTCATCTACTTCTCATCCACCATACCCCTGTTTCTTACTAACTAAGCTGCAACAAGTGACATGAATTTTCTCTCCCTCGGTTTCATTTTCATATCTCCTTCAACCTAAACAGCGACCTGCACCATTTTATTGGCTATTGTTAACTGAGGCACTAATGATCTACCTATATGCTAGCCAAATCCTCAGCCACGTCCACATCTTCCTTCAATTCTTCTGCTTTTACACCACTAGCTACTGCCAACCATCTGACATTTGGCTCTTGCAGCTCAGCTTTTTTATGTTTCTTATCCTGTTGCTCAAATCACTTCTTTCAACTCTGACTTACTAGGTTTCTCTCCTTCTCCCCTATACCCCTAGCAAAACCCTTCTTCCCCCACAGAAGGTTTGACAGCTAGTCCTCCCCTACTTCCCCTGCTCCTCACTTTATATACGGGTGCCAGTTATCCACTTACGTTATTACAATCATCTTTTTTAGGATGACAAACACTTACCTTCCTGTGATCTACCACTTCCCTTCTAATATTCCACCTTATTCCACCTAAATCACCTCTGCTGGTATCAAGCTAACTTTCACTTAAAAAAGGAAGACTGAAAAAAATTTCTCCTAAAATGTCTTTATAGTTCCATTTCTAGAACTGACATGAAATACAGTTCTGGACTAGTAAAACAAACCCTCCTCTACATTTGGCTATTAGAGTCTAAAGTCAGGGGAGTAAGCACTTCCCCTTTTTCTCCTACTAACTATGAAAGCAAAGGTTGTCTGGGTCGTTTTGCTTCCTGTTTCAAGACAAACAAGCTATTTTCCTTTTGTTTTGTGTTTTCACTAAAAACATTGTAGAATCAAGCAAGCTCTTTCTATAAAAAACAGAATTTATTTAGACTTTTTCTCTTTTTACAGTACTTGCACTTTCAGGCTGTATGCCTTCAAGCCCACTTGGTCACTAAGTGCTAGATTTTTATCTATTACTAATCTTTCAGAATGTTATGTCTGTATATTTATGTCTCACTGATATTTCTTCCCTCCCACCTAGTTCCTAAAAATTGAGGAACTATCATTCTTTTCTTCTGCCCCTAGTCTTCTTCCAAATCAGAGCAGTTTCTGCCACACTCCAATATTGGGCTGTATGTACTTTGGCAACTTAAATATATAGGTGGAACAAGCAGCCACTTTAGCGGCTTGCAGCAAATTTATTCAGGCTCGACTTCATTCTGGTTAAGAGCAAAAAAGTCGATTCATTTCATACAAAACTTTTGTTCCATTTATGTTCCTTCCATAGAGATGTGTATTCTTCCTAAACAGCAAAGCTTAAAAGGACAAGCCATTACTGAGACAGTGGGTTTAAAGTAATTTCTAATCAGAAAGACAGTGTGGCTCACCAGTCAGCATAGCCTGGACATAACACAGTGTTTTCATACACATTTTGATTGCTTACTGTATCAGAGTTCCCACTGCTGTTAAAATCATGCTTGATCGCTCTCTGTGGCCAGGCAGTTCTCATCTGTTCAGCTTTGCCATCCTTGCTAAGTCGCGTTAGGTCAGAATTCCAAAGCTCAAAACTTGAGGGTGGTAAGAAAGGCGGTATCACTGCTTTCAGTTTATCGCTGGGCAGCCTGGTAAACGGAGCACTGCTTCTCAACTGAGAGAGGGAAATAAAGAAAAAGAAAAGAGCCTCTTCTTAAGAAGTATTACTGAGAGCTGATGATGTACTTTCAAAGTTGTAAGTTAAATAAAAAGATGGAGGCAATGTATTTTTAAACAAAATAAAATGGAAACAAGACACAAAAGTAGTATTTGTGAAGATGTACAACACTTAATAACAGACATAATCCAATGGACATTCTGGCACCTGTCAGTATGCTCATTTATTACAATGAATATAGTTCATTAAGTGGCAGAAACTGTCTCTCTCTTCACTGGGCTGAATCTTGCTTCAAACTGATCTTATCAGGAATGTTAACAATTAATTTCCAAAGAAATAACAAGGTAATCCTCTCTGCATTCCTAAACAGGACACCTGGAACCACTGAACAATCGCCTGTTCCTGCTGTGTGTATTCTCCAGAAAAATAAAAAACCACCACAACTGATTTGGCTCCCTGGAGTTCTGTCAGTCAGTCACACCAAAAGTTACTCAATCTTCTTAAAAAGAACATAAAGGATAACCAGCCAAATTTAATGACATCTCCAGGGAGTAAGCTGTAGGGGAATTTACAGCTACATTATAACAAAAGAAGAAATAGAATAATACAAATAAATATCCCAAACTCAGTATTTCATGGTTGCCTCTACTAGTAATTTCTCATTTTTACATTGTACCATGTTCCATCCGTGTTTTCCTCACAGCATACTGCTTGTCAGCAACTGATCAGTTGTTCCATCTATTTTAGTAATTCACTGCTGATCACACAAAGGTATAGGTAACTCCTGAAAAAAGTCAGTACTTGTGAAGGGCTTCTATACCATGCTACTTGTAGTACTTCCTAGTCTAAGAACTACTGATGTATCACAGCCTCTCAGTTCCTGTCTAGTAACTATAAACAAATGATAGTTCTCTTTCTAATGGTGACTTGGATAGGTTAAAATAAAATAAAAATAACAGGAGTTGCATGACCTTCTGAATTGGGATGAACACACCAAGAACACTGCAACATACCATGGTTGTCAGTAATTCATCATCCTTTCCTCCTTTCGCAGTGTTTACACCTGAAAGATATATAATGATGTTTTATTGTTTACACATACCTACTTTTGTTCTCAAGGATAGCTTATTGTTTTCAAATATTCAAGAGCTTTACCCTCAGTAAGCACACAAAACCAAGATTTTCAATGACACTGTCATGTACCTAAATTAAAGTTAAGCCGATAGTTTTATTTCACATCACAAACTGTGGGTGTTTTGCATGAAGAGCTGTACAATTTCAGTAGATGTGCTTTATGATTTGGGCTCTTCCAATCTCTCTTTCTTCTCAGAATTATTTATTTATTTGTTTAAAGGTTTTCATTACATAAATTAGTTTACCAAAGATACTAACAACTTTTGAGTTACCTGTCTTTACTGTCTGATTTAATGGTCTGATTTAATGCTACAGAGCAGTAACATGGTTATATTAGCATTTTCCTGCATAAATGATGCTGTATTCACTGTTCAGCATAACCAACAGTAAGGAGTAAAAACACCTCTTCCTGTATATACTATAAATACATTACATGTCTTTTCAGTTATATTAAGTTAAATAAAAATAAATCAATAAATTAGAAATAGTATCATCTTGACTACCCCACAAGAGCTCACTTCCCACAAGACAACTCTGGCTTTACCACTAGCTTTGTTATTTGTGATCCGAGCTGTTGCAGCATCAAGGTTTCCAGAGGTGTCCATATCACTCTGTGAAAATGCTTTTATGGTGGAATTTAATGATGGTTCAGGCTCATCAGGAAAAGGCACAAACTGATTGGAAGGAAATCCATGGCGCAATGTCTGAGTCAACTTCAGCTTGCGGAATCGATTGGACATCCTGCTCCACCAGGACTAGATTGATAAGAAGACAGAACAATTTAGTTCCAACTAAAAGAAAAAAGAGGAAAAGACATGTACAATTACGTAATCCTTGTGGCAGTGATAAAGCTGTCATGGAGTTTTTGAGACAAACTGCAAAAGCAATGTTAAAGCAGTTCGCAATGATCAACAGAATCCTTCACCATAATTTGTATGCATAAATCAGTCTCTTTCCTTATTTTTCATCTGGCAAATGCCTTACAAAATTTTTTCACACTATCTGGAAAGACAAGGTAGATAAAAGCATTAGGGCAACTTGAATAGGAAATTTTTACAGCCACATTGCAAATATTTAATCTTCCCATTAACTTGCAAATTTCACCATCCATTAACACTCTTTGGCACCAATGAACTGGCATGTATACTTTCTGCTTTTTAGAGGTGTGCATAGAAGTTTATCCGATCTGCATGAAAACTTCTCCGTAAGATTCTCAAAATCAGTGGGAAACTGGAAGACTTCTGATAGTATTCCTGTCAAGCTAAGGATCCACAATCCACACAGTGCTGCTATACAGGTAACTTAAACCTTCCCAGAGTAGAAAGACTATAGACTGAAAAAGAGCAAGCGAAAGAAATATAAGCTGTGAAAACACCGCAAACCATAGGACAACTATACCTACAACCTCCATCCATACAGGTATCACATATGTGGAACTGTTACATGAAAGGACCATCTTTGCTCAAAATAAAATTTACACAAGTATTTACCAACTTACACATTTTTATGGGCAGACAGTGCAAGATACTTCAAGTATTTAACAGGACATTTCTCCAAACTATGAGACCCCTATAAGCTATATTAAGAAGACCTATGCAATCTGTATTAAAGATTATGTGGTTTGTAGGCAAATAAGTCAGATTATAAATATCTTCTGACTATTTCTTAGTAAAGCTTCCTCTTCCCTTTCTGGAAATTCTTTTTAAAAAAGCACTAAAGTCATGTAAAAGCAATGATACTTCATCAAGGCAGCTTTACATGATACCAAATCCACACAACACACTTTCCTACTTTACTCTTTATTCTTAGCCATTCCTTCTTACCATACATATTCCTCTCTCTCCTTGGCATTTAACAGCTTTCAACTGCTTAGTGATATATGTCTTTCCAACTGTCACTCAGTAGAATTAAATAATACAAACTGTAAACTTATCCGCTGTAAATCAATCCTTCCAGCAGATGATCATTAAAAAGATTTTAAATCTTCACAGAGCATTAGTAATGGATGGAGTTCTCAGACCTCTGTATCTCTTTGGAGATATAACTAATAAAGATTTACATTATTTTCAGCAACAAAGACTTGATGGAAAAAGGCAAGAGAGACAAATAGTTCTGAGAAAGTGATAAAACCCACACAGTTCAACATTTATTCACCTTCCAAAATGAACTGAAAGGGCAAAAAAATCCATCTAGTTTTAACAGAGAGTACAATAAGCTTACAAAAGAGACTGCACAATGTGGTTTGGTCTTGTTCACTAAAGCTAGCTTCCTTCTGTAACAAAGATCACTCCTAAGTTCCTATCATCTTTGTTAATCTTCTTCACAGTGCTTCTGCCTCGTTAACATATGCTCACACCACAAACTAACCCAAAATGGAGTAAGTACAGACACTATGTTACCATATAAAAAACCTACTGCTCTCCGGCAAAAAAGGAATGAGAGTGGAGAGGTTCATCTTGTTCACTCTGGTGTTCAGAGTACAGTGATCTAAGCTCTGGAGTTTCCAGTCTGCTATTGCAGAAGGATGTGGCCTCTCCATCTACCCTACCACATCACACATGTACAGACGCTGGAATAAAGGGCTTTGAACTACTGAAGCAGTCAAGTAACAAAAATGCATTTGTGGTTAAAAATTGCGCCTGTCAAAAGGATGAAATCCAGTAGCAGTGGGAGAAGGCAACAGTATCAAAGAACAGAAAAATGGTGTTGCCACTTGAGAAATACCTTAGACATTTGTAATAATATTAGGAATGAAAGAATAACTGGAAGAACTGGAAATCTCTGTCCTCAAACAACTTTCATCTAAAAAAGAAACAATGTGATAATTCACACTGCTCTAATACCGACATTGAGACTGTAACTTGCTGAAGAAGCACACGCAGGGAGAAAAGAGAAGAAATAAAATTTTTGCATATGGAAAAGGCCCATAAAATGTCCAAGTCCACAAAATGATGAGAAACAAAGCAGTTAACAGTCCCTGTGTGAAAGGGCTAAAGAATGAGATCATGGTTATCCACTACATAACCAGTAGGTAAAGCAACAAGGGCCTGTATTATGCATGAATTAAAAATAACAGAAACACACAACAAAATAAAATGTCTACTCGTAAAGTAGATCACAAAAGTGATCAAACAGGAGACACTGAAAAGGATTTCTTTTTTATAAACTTCAAAAGCAGCCTACTTGTGATCAGATATTTTAGTATGAATACCACTCACAAGAGGAAGGTAGGAATAGATGTGCATTTGCTGAACAAAGAAAGAATATTTAAATGAGCTTACATAAATTAAAACCAGACAACACTGATTAAAATTACCCTAATAATAGACAACACAACATCTGAACAAATATTATCTTCAAGATAAGTTAAGAGGATGGAAGAAGTTAACAGAAATCTGGCAAAAGGCAAATGCATCATCACCCTTACCCCAAAGAAGAAAATCAGAAAATTTACTGATCAAAAAGTTTAACTTGAAAGGACATCATTGAAAAAACTTTGTACATCATCACAGCTTGTAACAGACAGCTGGTATGGGTTTGTTGGGAATAAATCCCACCAAATCAATCCCTCTGTCTGACAGAGTAACTGGTCAAGTGGGCAGAAGGGAGGAAAAGCTGTTACGTAGTTTGACTTTAATAAAGCTTTTAGCGCTATTCCATGTAACATTCATTGAACGACTGCGCAAAATATGTTTCAAGTAAAATTAATATAGGGAAAGCATCATAGCCAAAAACATATTAAGAGACAAATAATCAACAATGTGATCTCAAATTGGGAGGACATACTTCGTGGAGTGAAACAGGAGTTTGGAAATGTTCATTAACAACAGCAACAATAAAACATAACATATTTTGCACAGTCTATGGAAGACATCTATCTGGACAGCTTGGTGAGCACCTTAGATACTCTAAATTTAAACACTGACAAATTGACATTATTCAGTAGGGCTCAAGCTGACAAGTAAGAAGAAGAAATCAAGTGTACAAATATAGAAAAGGAAGTAAGTAGCAAAGCAAGCTGTACTGAAGAAAAAAAAGAAAATCAGAGCTGCAACATATCACAAAGTATAGATGCACAGTGTCCTACTGCTGCAAAAAAGGTGAATTTCACTGATAACAGCATGAAATACACAACTGTGCAAATAGTTTTTGTATGCCACTGTGATACTGACACCCTAGTTGAAATCTCATGACTCCTTTTCGATCCCTCACCTTGACAGATACAGACAAATTAGAAATAGTAAGAAGTTTAGGAAACAACCTGCAAACAAGGAAATTTGAATTAATTATTTTTATTTAGTCTAGGAAAAAAAAAGATTATGGTAAAGAATATGGTAATTCTTTAAGAATTTATATAGTACTGTCCTGGTTTCAGCTGGGATAAAGCTAATTTCCTTCATAGTAGCTGGTGTGGGGCTATGTTTTGGATTTGTCCTGAAAACAGTGTTGATAATTCAGGGATATTTTTAGTTGTTGCTAAGCAGTCACGGGCTGTTCAGCTTCTCATGCTGGCCTGCCAGCAAGTAGGCTGAGGGTGCAGAAAAAGTTGGGAAGGGATGCAGCTGGGACCACTGACCCCAGCTGACCAAAGGGATATTCCATACCATATGACATCATGCTCAGCATAGAAAGCTGGAGGAAGAAGGAGGAAGGGGTGGGACGTTCGGAGTGATGGCGTCTGTCTTCCCAAGTAACCATTACGTGTGATGGAGCCCTGCTTCCCTGGAGACGGCTGAAGACTTGCCTGCCCATGGGGAGTGGTGAATAAATTCCTTGTTTTGCTTTGCTTGTGTGCGCGGCTTTTGCTTTCCCTGTTAAACTGCCTTTATCTCAACCCATGAGTTTTCTCACTTTTACTCTTCTGATTTTCTCCCCCATTGCACTGGGGTGGAGTGACTGGCTGCATGGGGCTTAGTTGCCGGCTGGGGTTAAACCATGACCAGTTCTTATAAAAATTAATGTGGCCACTGAACAAGAATCGATCAACTTAATACGCAGCAAGACGTAGATTGGATCAGGGGGAAAAAAATTATGACCACAAGAAGTGACAAGCAGTGGAACTGGATGCTGACAGAGACCATGGGACCAAGGGATCTTCTTCACCACAGTGAAGGAGGAGAGAACAGAAACCTCCATCAAGGATGTTTGTGGCACGTTCATTCTGTCTCCTACGTAAATGCAGGTGAGCCTCTCGAGTTCCCTCTCATTTTCACACTTCTATGATTCTGTAGACCTCACATTGTCATTTATACTGATCTAGACAGAAAATTTATGTACTGGCAGAGTCACCATAAGTATTTTTGGTTTACAGTCCTGGCTCAACACAGAGCCGTTGTCCACACGGAAGCACTGCTGCTACAAAACCTGGGAGAGGTCCCTCACGTCAGCACTCTCTTCACATGCTGGTCCAAAGAGAGATGAGTTTGATGACCACCCTCCCAGCCAATCTGAAAATGTCATTTTTACCCGCTCTGAACATTTGTAAGGAGACTAAGATATGTAACATACTTGTGGTCAGACAGAATGCTTACTAAAGCATTAAACAGTAGTGGAAGAGGGAGCTATATTTGCTTTCAGATTATATGTATAAGAGAACTATATGTAACACAATTTCTGCTGAAAAAGTGCCTGATTAAGACTTAACTTGTAAACACTGTAATATTTTGTAGTTTTGAGACCAAATACTTAATCATTCCACACATCAAAATATTAAATTTGTGTCAGTACTCATGTGTCCATCTTCATCATTGACAAATATTATATTTTAATTTCACTTGATAATCTTTAATGATCCTAATTCAAGCCTTTGCATCATAACACTGCAAGAATTGCAATCCGACCTGTTGTTGATCTGTATTCCATAGAGCCAAAAGTTGTTCTGACAACCTCCCATCTAAGTAACTACACCTTTAAAAAGGTCCATCTAAATTGATACTGAAGTTGTATCATATCTAATAAAAGAATAATCATATGAAAATAACCACTTACTGCTTCATAGTTAAAACTGCAAAACAGATTTGAGCTAAAGTAGAATTTTAAATGGTCTTTAAAATTCATGTCAACAATAGCCTGGAAATTACCATGTGTGTTTCCAAGACCCTGATAATATTTATACTAAAGGTGAGATCATGGCCTCAAGGAAATTCTGAGGTACACTATAATCAAAAATTATTCACCTAAATAAACAACAATAACAAAATAAACTCATAGTTTTTCCTTCTCTTTTGCAAACAGAAAGCTTTTAAGCGGCATGTTTTGACTCTATGTTGTTTACTAGATGATGCCAGTTTCGAGTTAAGAATACAGCATGCCAGAGGACATGTAAGCCTGAACTGCACACTCTTCCACCCTTCATATTAAAACCTCTGCTATGATCTTAACTGCCAATGCCAATACGCTGTTTCCATTTACGGTTGAAATAAAGTCTACCCTCTGTCCTAGAGGTAGACAAGCGATATATTCCCTCAGTCTCTTGAGCTGTCCCGCACAGAGTCCCAGGAGTATTTTCAAGTACATTACCAGAGCTTCAGTTTCCTTCCTACACCATCCTTCCTTCTTCTAGAGTCTACTGAATAGCATAAAAGTAAAATAAAATAACTACTGCTGCAATTCCTACATAGAACAAACATATAAATAGTCCGTTTCTCACTATGTCAGGAGATACTAGCCAAATCCCCACAATATATCCACTCCAATTTAAAAAAAAAAAAAAGAAAAAGATAGCAATGAGCATAGAAAGAGTCTACTAAAACTGGACTATATTTGGATTTTAAAGGCAGATTTAAAATTAAGATCATAATGGAAATTCAGTTCCAAACTTGTGAACATAAGTTTGCGCGGCAGTTCGCGCAGGCAGGGCGTGCAGGACGCAGTCATCCCCCCGCCGGCACTAGAGATGTTCTGACGAGTGGCCATCGTCCTCCCAGAAGAGGCTCAGTCATGGTCGCCACTCAGCTGAAAACCGTGGCCTGAAGGAATATGGCGACACAGACAGAGCTCCCACTCAAGCACACGGCTGTCCAAGCATCTGGCTGCAAAGAGTGCCTGTCAGTTTTACCAGAGACCAGCAGAGACACCATCTGCGTGCAGTGCGACCAGGTGAGCAACTGCTCAGCCTGGGGCAGGGCTGGCAGAGGCAGTGGAGAGGCTGAGGAGCATCAGGGGGTGTGAGAGGGAGATGGATCAGTGGTGCCCCGCTCCCGCCTGTCTGTGAGGCAGAGGGAGCTGGTGGAGGCTCCACAAGCAGCAGGGGATCCCCTGCCCTGCTGCTGCCGAGCAGAAGAAGGGGACCTAAGAGATCAGGGGAAATGGAAGCAGATCCCTGCTCGGAGACGCTGGCGAATCCCCTCCCAGCCTCCCTCACCATCCCAGCTGCCCTTACACAACAGGTATGGGGCTCTGGAACTCAAGGGCCAGGCACATGAGGACCTGGACAAAGATCCATCCGAGGGGGTGCCTAGGGTGAGTCAGCCAGCCCCACGCATCAAGACATCTCTGTTAAGAAAAAAAGGAGGGTAATTGTCGTAGGCGACTCCCTTCTGAGGGGTACAGAGGGCCCAGTATGTCAACTGGCC